CTTAACGAAGACGATTTTGATCGCCGCTTGCAATTTTGTGAAATCATGAGCGAGCATGCTATACAAGATCCACATATTCTTTATAACATTTGTTTTTCAGATGAATGCAGTTTTAATGTTAACGGGACTGTCAATCGACATAATTGTCGATACTGGTCAGATTCCAATCCAAGAGTATTTCTTAAAACGCATACTCAACACCCAGAAAAGTTAAACGTTTGGGCTGGAATATTTGACGATCGTATTGTTGGTCCATTATTTTTACCAGGTACTTTAAATGGGGATATGTATTTGGAATTACTCGAAAACACCGTTGATCCACTGTTAACAGACATAATAGAAAACGATAACCGATACCTTGAAGATCACCTAATATTTCAACAGGACGGGGCTCCTCCACATTTTGCTGCAGCGGTTCGACAGTACTTAAATGAAAACTTTCCTAGACATTGGATTGGCCGAAGAGGATTTATTGAATGGACCCCACGATCTCCTGATCTGTCCCCCTTAGATTACTTTTTATGGGGATATCTGAAAAGTAAAATATACGCCACTCAGCCAGGTTCCTTAGAAGAGTTACGTGAACGTATTATTACCGAATGTCGTCAAATAACTCCAGAAATGCTCCAAAACGTCAGACAAATATTTGAGAATAATTTATATTCATCTATGGAAGTTAATGGACAACAATTTGAGCATTTACTTTGAAGTAATTTAGTTTTTAATTATGGGAGTTGTCCTTAATTTTTCAATTTAATTTTTATGTTTACTTTTCTACTATTTGTTTTATTTTTATTATGAATTGTCTATTAAATGAGTTTTACTTTCAAATGAAGTATCATTATTTAAAATACGGAAACTTTTCCCGAAAGATGGCGCCAAAATCAAAAGTTACGTGATAAACTGTCACACAGTCAAATTCCTTATAAAATTACCTTTTCAATGATGTGTCACACTTAGTACTTTCCCTATTTAAATTTCATTGGTAATAGTGACAGAGGGGTGGGGGGCATGTAGGATAGTTGAGGATATGATCAAAAGGTGTCCCCTTTGAAATAGAAATCGACCTCTTTTTGCATTTTCTCTAAAAAAAAAATGTGTCTTCAAGAAATGCGATCTGTTTCGTTTTCGGTACCTCACCCTGTATATACAGTGTAAGTTTTAAAGCCCAAATGTAGTGAAGCTGGAGGCTTATTGTACCTGAAATAGGCATTACAACTACTCTACTCTAGATTGAAATAGATGGGTAAAGACCGTAAAGGGATAATAAGTATAAGAATATTAGAATTAGAATGATTTTTCCTTGCATGATTAAGTCAGTATTAGGGATGTTTAAAACAATTGTGTTTATAAATTAACTACTTTAACTTTTTATGAAAACTATGTCCAGTTTTTTAATAACAAAGTCATTGTCATGTGCTATATATGCTGGTTATCATATTATATTTTTATATTTCAGTAAGTTAGTGTATGATATAGTGCTTATGTTATGTTCAGAATATGCAGTTAGAAGATAATGAGACACATGTAATTACATGGTAATTCTAAATAAATTAAACTTGTTAAAGATGTATTTTATTTTTCACCTAATTTTATTTTTCAGTTAAAACAAGTGACATTTTTAATTTTCAACATTTACCTACAACAAAAATTAACTAAAGTTATTGCTTGTTTAGTACTTGTAAGTAAAAGTTGTCAAATAGGAAAATAAATTTTTTTAAATATCTAAATTATAAAACCCTCCACTTTTTAAATCGCTTTACTTAGTAGACTCCTACTTTATCGACTGAAACCGATAGGTGTAGTTCAACAGTAAGCTCTTAACGCGCTACTGTCAAGGTCAAGCAAACTTGTTACCAACTATTTACATTGAAACCGACCCCCGTGGTGTGTACACCACTCGCAGTCTAGCAATTTATTATTAAAATGACAACGTTTATGTTCCAAGGTGCAGAAAGTGATAAACGAATGTAGGTAGGTGGAGGCAGTGCATACTGTTGTGTCTTTAAAAAATCGCTATCAGCATAAATATGTGAAAGAGGAGACTCCAGAGGAAATTTGGACTGGTCAAAAGTTACAGTTGAGACACAAATGGGACCCAAACAGTAAAAGCTGCCTTTTTGTTGGTTATTGTTTAGACCCAAAGATTATTTGACCCTAAAAATCCAACAAAAATAACGAAAAGCAGAGATGTGGTTTTTTTAACTTTTTTTGATTGATGATATAATAATAATAATAATAATAATAATAATAATAATAATAATAATAATAATAATAATAATAATAATAATAATACTCTTCCTAATTCACCCCCTTACGAGTGAATTTTAACCCCAAAAGCTGAGCTTGTCCGGGGAAAGGGACGGCTATTATTATTATTTGCCGTGGCGCTCCGGGGCGACTTAAAGATGATTGATGGTGCCATTTGACTTACAGGTGAGGAAAACCCGGAAAACCTCACCCACCATCATCGAGACGGTAATGTATGGCGAATTTTTTTAATCTGCATGTCATATCAACAGAAATTGAATTTCTATTAATACGCCACACATCAAATCCTAAACCGAACCATGCAATTTAATTAAAAATCCACATGGTACGGTCTGGGATTCGAAACCCAGCAGTCTCAGACTCATAAACTTGCCTATAAATGAATATAAGCGCGATAGACCGCTACATCACCGTGCCCGATAATAAGATAAGTAATCGAAAAATACCCACGTAGACCAGAAAAACAGTCAGATAACTCCAGAAAGTGAAATTAGGCCCAAAAACACTGAAGAATCGGTAACAAGTTCAGAAGAGAAAGAACCCAGATACTTTCTTAGAAGTCGTTACCATATTTTCTGCCATACTGTATGCGAAGAAGGAGATGATCCTGAGACACTTGAAGAGTTTATGACCAGATTTAAGACGATGATAAGAAGCAATGTATGAGAAGCATGATTTTTTGATAAACAACCAAGCATGGGTACTAGTAGACAGACTCAGAGATCAAAGGGTCATCAAAAATAAATGGGTTCTTAAAATACAAAGAAATTCTAAAGAAAGAATACCAAGATACAAATGTAAGCTAGTAGCTGAAGGTTTTACTCAACAATAGTGGGTTGATTATGAAGAAACTTTCTCTCCTGTCATTCTTAGGTCTTAGTATTAAGGTTTTGTTAGCTTTTGAAAAAATATTAGATTTTGCTATAGCGAATATTGATGTAGATACAGCCTTTTTAAATGGGAAATTAAATTAAAAAAATTTCAAGGAACAATTTAAAAGTTGCCTTGTCCCTTAAGGTTTTATTACCTTCTGCGAAAAATTTTTATTTGGTTATAGACCACATTGATGTATATACAGCCTTTTGAATGGGAAATTGGAAATAAAATATTAAAGAAACAACGTAAAGGTTTCATTGCCCCAGGGAGTAAACATAAAGAATGTATAATGGAAAAAGCAATTTATGGGTTAAAACAAGCTTCTAGGATTTGAAACAAAAAGGTTGAATCTACATCAAAAGATTTTGGTTTTGATATATGTCATTATCTTGTTAGTAAAAACATTGTTTTAAAAGGATGCCTACCATTTGTTATGTAGTAAAGTGTGGAATCCGTGGAGATGACGATGTTAATTAATTTTTCAAGTTGTCTGCATTACTTACCTATATAGTGAATTGCATTTTGTTTATACCAAAGACTTCTCTCTCAAAATGTTATGTTTTAAAATTTTGAAGGCAAAGTGTATTGTAAAAACAAGTTAATATGTGTTTCAACCAATTAGACGAGTGTTTTAATGAATTAAAAGATTAAGCTTACAAAACTAGTACTTGTACATAGCATCAAAAATTTTGAAGAAAAAGTGGTAAAACAAAGTATATAGGTTGGGAAAAATAAAGTGTGATAAATTAGAGGAATACTACCAATATTACTGAACGCCTGGGAAAGTCTAAAAATATTAAATAATTGTTTTAACGCTCAGCAACCCATTATGCTGATACCATTCAGATATCGCTATAATCAGAAAATAGCCCCTTTCAAATTCTGATGTAAAAGAAGAGATTACATTTTGTTTTTAAAAGTGTACCCCTTGGTGGGCTCTGTATTTGTTTTCCTAAGTTGGCTATATCGTCATAAAATTCGAAATTCACTACAAAACAACCTTTATTAAAATCATTTTTTAATATTTTCGATAATTCAAAAGTTACACTCATTATTCCACACATTGTAGCCACCCTGTACTCTATTTACTTGAGATACTGGAGTAAATAATTCTTGATTGATTTTAATAAATGTAGATAGTTCCAAATATTAACAACTCAAGTGGTTTGGGTTTGTAAACAATTTTACTGCAGGTAAACATACCAATCGAATCTAATTATAGACACATTTATGTACGTATTTTGATTTTTATTTTAATTTGTAATAACTAACCACCTCTCCCAATTTTTTGGTAGCTAATTATTTATTTAAAGTTCAGATCGACATTTACATAAATTAAAAAATATAATATCAGTAAATTTTAAGTGACGGTACTTGACTGACTGATTAATAGAAAAGCAAATGTAAATATTTTGTAAAAAAAGTAAATTCTTTTAATTTATTGTCACGTCACGAGACATAACATTTTTAGCTTTAATAATTATTTTATTATGGCGAAAAATACACCAACCGTGACATGATGACAGTTGTTTAAATCAACGATTACGAGGCAATCGCTGCAGCTACCCCAACAGTCGTAGATATGGTCAGGAAAGGTGTATTGGTAAAAAATTGTAAAGAAGTCTAAAAACTCTAAATATTTTAATTAATTTTAAAAAAGAATTTATGAATATTTAAAAATTATGAAAACTGAAAAAACTGAAAAAATGGGTAAAAATAGGACAAAAACTGAAAAAACAATGTCGAGATATTTAAAATATTTAATATTTATTTTATTATCTAAAATATTTTAAATATAGCCAAATTATTATAAAATACGAACGTATTTAATCAATCGTAAAATCACAACTCACCCACATGCTTTGGTAAAATATTCACCAACAACGTCTCGTTGACTTTCTGTAGGATATTAGCCTCTTCCTGCTCAGCTTTAAATCTCTTGTTCAACATGTAATCCAACCTGTTCATATAATCTGTCTGCCTATCGACCAAATGTAAGGTTATCGTAAGGAAGACCGTAAATATTATATGAGCCACTTGTGGCTGCAGATTGTGGTTAAATGTCTCGCTATCCTGAAATAAATGTATAATAAATTACAGGGAGAAGCAGGAAAACCCCAGAAGACTAAAAATTAGTGCGCGAACCGTTGATGCGAGTGGTTTAAGTTGTAAGTTTCGTTTTTCTTAAGAACACCCCAGCAAGTTATCAACTATTTGACTGGACACGACCAATTACAGAAAAGCAAGTGAATTATAAAAAATTGTATCTAATATAGTATACACTATAGGACACAGCGAAAAAGTAAAAAATATAATAAACATCTATGAATATAACAGTATAATAATTTAAACTAGAATTATTGTACCTACATAGGATTAAAAATTTTTTGTTTATATGCCAAATTACCTCACCTTGTAATACCCTTTGCTGAAACTGAGTACACAAAATCCATACAAAGCTATGGTTGCCATTCCTAAAACTAACTTAATCCAAATAAATATTCTTAGAAATAGAAAACTCATTATAACAGTCATAGCGTAAGTCTCAGTCATGTGCTAAAAAAAAAAAATTATTTTGTGACTAACACGAATCAAAAAGATGGAGAAGCATCATACCCAAGGCAGCACGCAGTGTATCATTCCTGAATTACTGAAATCCTTTGGCTTTGAATAAAATAGAAATAACAACAAACTCGTTTGTGAAGAATTTTTATAAATTCCCAATTCTGCATCATAATTGGTTCTACAGTCGATCTAAAAAAAAATAACATTGTAAATACCTAAATACCATCAAGAGCCCAATGCAAGAAGACGCCGTAAGTAGTGATGCCGCGAGACGAGAGAGATATTTCCTCTCGAAAACAGATTCGAGACGGAGAGTATCTTCTCTCGACGAGAATTTGTCGTTTCTCTCGAACTCTCTGGTACAATTTATTTTTTGCTTGTTTGAAATTTAAACATATCAGATTGCTAGATAGTCAAAAAGTTAACTATGGCATACGTATTATATACGTATTAAATGGTAATACGTGTGTGATTAGGATTTTATAAATAATGATTTATTTATAAGAAAAAATATTTCTAATGTCATTTATTCTTGAGATTTATTTCCGAACTTCTAGATTATTTCTATAACTTTTTTCAGATAATTCTGACCTTTTGGAGAAATTTTATAGATTACCCACCCTATATAAATAGCTTTTTATTGTTTGAATCGCTTTCTTATCTGGTCAGTAATATAGGTAATTATTTTTTTTTTTCTATTTTTGTTCTTTTAAAAAATATGATAATAAGGCGTCCCCTTAATATTTGAATTTTTAAAAATATTAAAAATTAATGATTATGCAACCATTTCTTAAATTTAATCCATTTTGTTTTCCTGAGGTTATTTTTGGAGATAAATTAAAAAGACAGAAATTTTTAGGCGTTATGGAACCACATATTCTGAGGTCAAAAATACCTCGATTAAACATAACCTATCTCATTGCAAATGTACACACAAAAAAAGTTACAGCTATTGAAAAGTATAAAATGAAAACCGATATTTTCCAATATTTCATGAACTGTTTAACATTTTGCAATGAAAATAGATACATGGCTTTATTCGTAAGAGCATCTTTTTCACATAAAATTACGAACTCTGTACAGCCCATAAAAATTTTAGCGGGTTTTGAACCCCTAAAACCCCCCGAAATTATTCTATGCGTTACAAATAAATTAGTATTGGTTTAATACATCATTTTTTTTTTTTTTTGCTGCTAGTACTTTTTCAAAAAGCCAGTTTTTATCGAAACTATCCTTAAAAAAATTTTAAGTTGGCTGTTCAACACTTGTAATTTCTATGGATAAATAACAAACAGTTGCTTAACCAATAAAATACTATGAATTGAAGCTTTCGAATATTGTACATTTTAAGAAAAATTAAACTTTCCATTACAATGGTTTACACTTTTGCAGAAATGGCAGATATGCATTTAATTCTGGGTCAGTTTGGTCAGGCTAAAACAAGGTTCCAGATAATTATCTGTAATTCTGGAACAGCAGCTGCAAGGCACTATGCGAAAAAATATTCCAATCGGAATACACCCGACAGACGATTAATTCTTTCTATTGATCGTCGTCTACGGGATATGCGTACTTTGCTACCGCAACTTGCTGATAATAGTAGTCGTCCAAAAATGGATACAAACCATGGGGAAATTTTAGAATTAGTTGAAGTAAAATCTGGAAGCAGTACAAGGGTAATAGCTGCTCAATTAGAAGTTGGGCACATGATGGTTTGAAGAAGATTAAAGGAGCAGCAGCTTCTTCCCTTTCACTTAACAACCGTATAAGAATAACTAGATGAAGATTATCCTAAAAGAATGGGATTTTGCGACTGGTTTTTAATCGAAGAAAATCGAAATAAATTTTATTTATCATATTTTTTTTTTATCGATAAAGCCACCTTCAATAGAAATGGCATTACGAATTACCATAACGACCACAAATGGGCCTAAAAAAATCCTGACGGAAAAAAAATGACTTATCACCAAAGGACTTTTAAAGTCAATGTTTAGGCAGGCATTATGAATAATAATTTAATAAGACCAGTACTTCTTCCAAATAATTTAAATGGTGCAAATTACTTGCAGTTCTTTTAAAATGATTTACCAGATTACTTGGAAGAGATAAATTTAGAAATGAAGCAAAACGTTAGGGAATATTTTGAGGGAATGTTGAATTACGCATCTATTTCTTGGCCATCTAGAACTCCAGATCCTAACCCCCATTGACTTTTGCTTCTGGCGTTTTTTAAAAGAAATCGTGAGTTATGTTGAAATAATCGACAAACAACAACTAAGGCATCGAATCATTGAAAGTGCAAATCAATGTCAGAAGCCATTAATCATTCAAAAAATTCGGTTTTTAAAACGGTGCCAAATGTATATTCAGGAAAATGGAGGCCATTTTGAACATTTATTATAGTAAAAACTACATATTCGAACATATTATTTATACCTTACTTATACCTTATACTTATACCTTACTTTTGTTACTCAAAATTTTTGAAGGATAATGGAAAAGAGGCCGTATCTCGATAATAACTGGCTTTTCGAAAAAGTGCTAGCAGGCAAAAAAAATTAAAAAGGGATTAAACAGAAAATCGATTTTCATTTTGTACTTTCCAAGGACTGTGACTTTTATTGTGTATATATTTGTATAAAGATAAGTTATGTTCAATCCAATTATTTTTGAGCCCAGAATATGTGGTTCCAATTATGACCTGCCTTTTTGTTACACCCTGTATACAGTGAAGACGTATTGTGTCTACCCCCTATAATTTCTAAATGAAAGAAGAGACATGAAACAAAAACGAGATGGAGACGTTAGTATCTTTAAATTCTCTAAGAGAAAGTAGGGTCATGTGATTCCTCATTTGAAATATATTTTTAATATCTTTACGCCCATCCAAAAAGTTTTATGTTTTTTAACGTTCTTTAAATAAATTAATAAAGTAGGTTGCATTCTTGATAACCCTGGTAATTACCATTATTGTTTTTTACCAAGTAAACTATTTTTACAAATTAAATAAACACAATAATTACTAAAATGAATAAATTAAGAATATCAAAGGTAAACGAAAAATGAAAATGTCTCATTTCTTAGCAATAAAAAGCCTATTAGAAAATTATCTTCTTACACTGTCTAGTATTTCTAAAGTTATTGCAGCATACGAAGTTTATGTAATTTTTGAAAAAACATGAAGAGAACCTAAACCTGTTTGAATAAAAATATATTTCTATTAGAAAATGTATTGATAGTAACGCCCTCTAATTCACGTCTCAAGTAAAGTGCATCTCGTTATAGCAAAAATATTATAATTTCTCTCTAATTTCACCTCGTTTTTTTTTTGTTCTTCCATTTTGAAGTTAAAAGGGTTGCCAAAACTCAGTATTTACGTTTTTAGTAAACGTCTAATTTAAGTCACTTATGAATTCAAATTTCAATTGTAAAACGACTCTCACAGACGTACTGACAGAGAGACTTAAGTGTTTGGTATTGCCAATATGGGTACTAAGAAGACAAATTACTTGAAAAAGTCTTTGTCTTTAAAATTTTGCAGTTTTTTATATTTCATCTTGAGAATGTCTTTTCCAAATTTAAATTTTTATCACGAGAGAATCGAAACGAAACGACGCAAGACGAGATGAGATAAAGGCTCTCTAGAGTGACAGAAGCGCCTTATCGTCTCATCTCGTCTCGTCTCGTCTCGTCTCGTCTCGTCTCGTCTCGTCTCGTCTCGTCTCGTCTCGTCTCGTCTCGTCTCGTCTCGTCTCGTCTCGTCTCGTCTCGTCTCGTCTCGTCTCGTCTCGTCTCGTCTCGTCTCGTCTCGTCTCGTCTCGTCTCGTCTCGTCTCGTCTCGTCTCGTCTCGTCTCGTCTCGTCTCGTCTCGTCTCGTCTCGTCTCGTCTCGTCTCGTCTCGTCTCGTCTCGTCTCGTCTCGTCTCGTCTCGTCTCGTCTCGTCTCGTCTCGTCTCGTCTCGTCTCGTCTCGTCTCGTCTCGTCTCGTCTCGTCTCGTCTCGTCTCGTCTCGTCTCGTCTCGTCTCGTCTCGTCTCGTCTCGTCTCGTCTCGTCTCGTCTCGTCTCGTCTCGTCTCGTCTCGTCTCGTCTCGTCTCGTCTCGTCTCGTCTCGTCTCGTCTCGTCTCGTCTCGTCTCGTCTCGTCTCGTCTCGTCTCGTCTCGTCTCGTCTCGTCTCGTCTCGTCTCGTCTCGTCTCGTCTCGTCTCGTCTCGTCTCGTCTCGTCTCGTCTCGTCTCGTCTCGTCTCGTCTCGTCTCGTCTCGTCTCGTCTCGTCTCGTCTCGTCTCGTCTCGTCTCGTCTCGTCTCGTCTCGTCTCGTCTCGTCTCGTCTCGTCTCGTCTCGTCTCGTCTCGTCTCGTCTCGTCTCGTCTCGTCTCGTCTCGTCTCGTCTCGTCTCGTCTCGTCTCGTCTCGTCTCGTCTCGTCTCGTCTCGTCTCGTCTCGTCTCGTCTCGTCTCGTCTCGTCTCGTCTCGTCTCGTCTCGTCTCGTCTCGTCTCGTCTCGTCTCGTCTCGTCTCGTCTCGTCTCGTCTCGTCTCGTCTCGTCTCGTCTCGTCTCGTCTCGTCTCGTCTCGTCTCGTCTCGTCTCGTCTCGTCTCGTCTCGTCTCGTCTCGTCTCGTCTCGTCTCGTCTCGTCTCGTCTCGTCTCGTCTCGTCTCGTCTCGTCTCGTCTCGTCTCGTCTCGTCTCGTCTCGTCTCGTCTCGTCTCGTCTCGTCTCGTCTCGTCTCGTCTCGTCTCGTCTCGTCTCGTCTCGTCTCGTCTCGTCTCGTCTCGTCTCGTCTCGTCTCGTCTCGTCTCGTCTCGTCTCGTCTCGTCTCGTCTCGTCTCGTCTCGTCTCGTCTCGTCTCGTCTCGTCTCGTCTCGTCTCGTCTCGTCTCGTCTCGTCTCGTCTCGTCTCGTCTCGTCTCGTCTCGTCTCGTCTCGTCTCGTCTCGTCTCGTCTCGTCTCGTCTCGTCTCGTCTCGTCTCGTCTCGTCTCGTCTCGTCTCGTCTCGTCTCGTCTCGTCTCGTCTCGTCTCGTCTCGTCTCGTCTCGTCTCGTCTCGTCTCGTCTCGTCTCGTCTCGTCTCGTCTCGTCTCGTCTCGTCTCGTCTCGTCTCGTCTCGTCTCGTCTCGTCTCGTCTCGTCTCGTCTCGTCTCGTCTCGTCTCGTCTCGTCTCGTCTCGTCTCGTCTCGTCTCGTCTCGTCTCGTCTCGTCTCGTCTCGTCTCGTCTCGTCTCGTCTCGTCTCGTCTCGTCTCGTCTCGTCTCGTCTCGTCTCGTCTCGTCTCGTCTCGTCTCGTCTCGTCTCGTCTCGTCTCGTCTCGTCTCGTCTCGTCTCGTCTCGTCTCGTCTCGTCTCGTCTCGTCTCGTCTCGTCTCGTCTCGTCTCGTCTCGTCTCGTCTCGTCTCGTCTCGTCTCGTCTCGTCTCGTCTCGTCTCGTCTCGTCTCGTCTCGTCTCGTCTCGTCTCGTCTCGTCTCGTCTCTCGTCTCGTCTCGTCTCGTCTCGTCTCGTCTCGTCTCGTCTCGTCTCGTCTCGTCTCGTCTCGTCTCGTCTCGTCTCGTCTCGTCTCGTCTCGTCTCGTCTCGTCTCGTCTCGTCTCGTCTCGTCTCGTCTCGTCTCGTCTCGTCTCGTCTCGTCTCGTCTCGTCTCGTCTCGTCTCGTCTCGTCTCGTCTCGTCTCGTCTCGTCTCGTCTCGTCTCGTCTCGTCTCGTCTCGTCTCGTCTCGTCTCGTCTCGTCTTCGGGATGAAAAGTAGCCTGTGATATTCCACACTATAATCTTTATTTGTGCAAAATTTCATCCAGATCCGTTCAGCCGTTATTGCGTAATTGATCAACAAACGTCTATCCATCCATTTATCCATACATCCAAACTTTCGCATTTATATACAGGGTGTACCAATAAAAACTCCCAGGCCGGATATTTTGGTTAAGTAATAGAAATATTTTAATTATGTAAAAGCCAGTTCATAGAGCGCTAAGAGAGCTTTAGTTTTAGATATTAATTAATTTTAAATAGGTCAATATGTAGATGGCGCTGTGCTCAATATATTTTTTTTTTAATGGGAGGATCTTTCTTATATAACGCATTTTGTAAAAATGCAGTTATAAGCAGATTTTGTTCTATAAACTAATTCGATAAATCTAGCCATTTTTTATATACAGAGGAGGTCACTCTAAAGTTTCATCCTGTTTTTCGGCATTAATCATTGGATTTTTAGAAAATGCTAAAACATATCGATTTTTATTTCCAATTGAACACATTTTTACAATACAGACATATGTCATGTGTCAACCTCCTCCCTTCTACTTCTCCAACCCCTTAATTTTAAATAAGGGATGTATCACATTATTGAAAAGGTAATTTTATGGGGAAGTCAGAAATATGCGATATTTTTAAATTTAGCGCCCTTTATCGGGATAAAACACCTGTAATGTATTAAGAGTGACACTTCATTTGAAAGCTAATTTGATTACTTATTCAATGTACCACATAACATTAATATAAATATTTTCATATTGCACTTGCAACAAAATAAAGTTAGCAATAATGTTTAAAATAATGCAAGAATAATTTTCAAACTAATGCAAGTGCAATATGGAGGATATTTATATTAATTTTATGTGGTGCATTGAATTAGTAATTAAATTTGCTTTCAAATAAGGTGTCACACTTTTTAATACCCAGACAGCACAAGTCAATCCATTGGATGTCCATCGGAAGTCCATTCATGGACATATCGGCTGTCCAAAGGACGGCCAGCATTTTACCGAAGGACATCCAATGGACATCCACTGAACTATACAAATGTCCCACTCATGGACGTCCATTTGGACTCCATGGAAGGTCCATATATGTACTCTTTTTGTATTGCTTTTGGACAATTTATGGACATCTAACGGACATCACCACCTATATTAATATGAAATAAAATAATTGCAACTATAGACTATTTTTATTGTCATAAATAATATCAAGTATGTATTAGTTTTATACACACTCCTTTCTGTTGACCTTCTTAGCCATTTTCTTAAGGCTATTTCGCTTACTTTTTAAGCAGCACCGTTGTCACTCTCAGCAACAGCTAAAAAAAGACTACATTTTATACGAATATTGAGTCTTAAATCAATCGTTTAATACACGCCTGATCAGGCAAAACTGATAGTTAAAAATGTAAAACTTTTAGATAAAATGTTATTAACTAATATGAAAATATGCATTGACTAATGTACTTTACCTCTATACTTACATATAAACAAAAAACTGCTCATTATTTCTTTAAATTACCATTTTACTTTCATACCATCATATTATGCGAATTCTTTTGAGAGGATATTAGAAATTATGGAAACAAAACATCTTTTCATAAGTTCGTACATGTCCTTGTCCCTGGTTTTGGTAACTGCTGAATCTAAAATTGTAATAAAAATATGTATTAGTGAACATTAAAGAGAAATAACTTATGAAACCACTTTCAATGCATTATTTCTTAAACTTTACAAAACGATTCTATTTTATTTAATAAAAGTAAAACTTACAGCTTCTTTAAAAATATTTGTATCTTCTAAATAGCCTCTTCTGCTAACGTCTCATGCCATACAAATAGAAACTTGAATTTTTTCTTCCCCTTTGAAAGTTTTCTCACCTCTTAGTTACAATAATAATTGTGTTGACATCATCTCGAATTTGCAGCATATTAGTTAGCTTCTAGTAAAGCCATTTTATTAAATAAGTAGGTAAATCTTTTGACAAAAGGTCTAAAAGAAAGGGATTCTTTAAATGTAAATCGAAAATATAAAGTTTAAAACATAATTGATAGGTTATATTAGTTTAAAACAAACGATTTGCTTCTTAATTTTTGGATTTTTAAATAATTTAATGTTAATTATACTTATTTTCTTACCAGATAAACATTATCTATCGGCTACATGTCAGTACATGTGGGATGTTTTATTCTTAACCTCTTTCTTCTTTTCTTCTTCGAGTCTGGTCTGAATGGTCTTTTACTTTTTTATCTTGTCAATCGAGGCGTTAGGAGAGGAAAATTAATTGATTTATTTTAATTAAAACGTTGTAAATAATTAAATTATACAAGAAGAATTATAATAATTTATTATAAGTTAGTCATTTTTATAGTGTCCATCATGGACATTTATTGGACATCCATTGGACGTCTGAATGGGTATATCCATTGGTTAACAGAAAATGGATGTCCATTGGACATCCATATAAAGTTCATGGACATCCAGGACATTATTTGGACAAAATATGGACGTCCAATGGACGTCGTGTGCTATCTGGGTATATACAGTTTTTTATCCCGATAGGGGGCGGTACAATTAAAAGTATGGCAATGAACAGTCATATTTGAAATTCCCTATAAAATTACCTTTTTAATGATATACTACACATTGTAGTGTCACACTCTATAATACGTAGTAGTTTTTTATCCTGATAAAGGGCGCTAAATTTAAAAATATCGCAATAAACAGTCATATTTCTGACTTCCCCATAAAATTACCTTTTCAATCATGTGCCTTACATGATACATCCATTATTTAAAATTAAGGGGTTGGAGAAGTAGAAGGGAGGAGGTTGACACATGACATATGTCTGTATTGTAAAAATGTGTTCAATTGGGAATAAAAATCGATATGTTTTTGCATTTTCTTAAAATTCAATGATTAATACTGAAAAACGAATGAAACTGTTTTGAGTGACCCACTCTGTATATCAAGAATGGCTAAATTTATCGAATTAGTTTATAAAACAAAATCTGCTTAAAAATGCATTTTTTACAAGATGCGTTATATAAGAAAGATCCTCCGATCGAAAAAAATATATTGAACGCAGCGCCATCTACATATTGACCTATTTAAAATTCATTTATATTTAAAACTGAAGCTCTCTTAGCGCTCTATGAACTGGCTTTTACAGAATTAAAATATCTGTATTACTTACCAAAATATCCGGCCTGGGAGTCTTTATTGGTACACCCTGTATTCGTAAGTATGATTTTTGGTGTATATTTTATATTCAATATGGTTCAGTTGATTGTTAGTGACATGGCAAATATGCATTTTTGTTATGCGATGGCTGATGGAAACTCTAGTGCTGCAAGACGTATGTATCATGAAACATTTTCCTAACGTGTAGTACCTAACAGAAGAACATTTGTAAGTCTCCATGCACGACTTTCTAAAATGGGCAGTTTTAAGAGATCGAGATTTGCCTTCGGAAGGCCTGTAACGTTAAAAACAGCTGAAATAGAAGCCGTTTTAAATGTAATTGAAAGAAATTCTAATAAAATACCCGGAAAATAGCTGAAGATTCGAACATTGACCATGTAACAGTATGGCAGATTTTAAATGACCAACTGTTATAATATTCATACCACAACGTGCGCAAGCTGGGCATTAAAGCTTGCACAAAAAATTAAAATTTGATCCCTGTTTTTGTATTATTTCGTCAAATACTATATAATAAGTTTGTGTTTGTCATAAACTGAAGCTGGGAAAACAACTTATTTTGGCTCAATGCACATAAAGGCGAATATCAGTATTTTGCACGAAGGCGCGATGGTGACTTGGTGCGTACGTAATCACCGAAATACTACATGGCAAACGTTCACGTAAGGTCAAGATGATATATTACATTTGTGCATACATACCATCTCGTTGAAAACCGTCAGCAAGAATGCCAAATAAATGAGCAGAAAGATCGACAATCTTACGTAAAAACAATTAGCCATTATTGAAGAAGCCCTACACATGACTCTGAAAAAGGCGTTCTCTGGAATTTCGTTTGAGTAGGAAGCCAGATATTTATTATATAGATATTCAGCCCAGGATATTGGTATAAAAATTAACATAATCGGAGCACAGGTCATCAGAAATGCCCATGAATTCAGGTCCCACCTAAAACAAATAAAATAAAGGCAATTTGCAATATTTATTAGAGTTGATCCCCATGCTCCACCACTAACCTTTTTATAATAAAAAGAATATGAAAATCATTAAAATAGTTACAATCAGTATCATGGTATGCAGCAGAAACATTAGATCTATGTGTTTTAATAATATGTGGTAATTTTAAAAATTAATTGAAGACAAATGGAGTACAATAAATAATTGGACTGTTTATATATTTAGTTTTTTTATAAAACGATATTTTTATGATAAATTAACAGAATATTTTCATTTATAGTGGAAAAATTATTATGCGAAAGATCGGTTAATGTCGAGAGACACCAAATACCAAATGAGTTGGTGAAAGACCGAACATTTAGTAATTTTATTATAAATTCGGACCTTGACCGGTGTATATTGACAAGCACAAATTAGTTTCGGTCTTTTTATACCATGGTTTCGGTCAATGTCGGAAACGACAACTGGCTTTTTGCTTTGGTTCGCTTCCGTACTTCCGTGTAGCAGAAACAACAGAGACGTGTAACTTAATAGGAAAATTTGTTCGGTGGTCCATTTAAATTACATATATGACTTTGTTTCCCTTTTACATTGATCTTTACATATATTTATCTCTCTCCAATAAAACTAACACCAATCTTAGAGATCGCTGATGTTACTGGTTTTTTTGACGGCGACGTCTAGATTAAAACTGACAACTGACAATGTTATGAATGTTGTTATGAACGTGTGCATTTTATTAAAATTAATGTAATTTGGGTCCCGTTTATTTGTTTGAGTCTGATTTTGTTGTTTAATTAATTTTCTTTGGGGGGAATGTTTATTTTCGCATATTATTTTTTGAATGAAGCAATTTCTGGAACCAAAATCGCGTTTTTGTACATGTTTGTTTCTAGAGGTAATTTCAAATTTATTAAGAAAACCACTGTATAATGTGTGTGTTTAATAATATATTACAAAATGACTAATTATTTTAGGTTAATTAGAACAGAGATTCATTGTTACAGCTATTTTTGTTTATTAAGTAGGTATATGAATGTCTCGACAGCTTTAATGGAAGCACAAAGTTCCCACCTACTAGAAAATAAGTAGTGTTCAGAATGAGTAAGACCTACCTGGTTTACTCTTCTGTATTAAAAATGGAGAAGTTCTCAAAACGACTTTATTTTAAATAATTCTGACAAACTCAAAAATTATATCGTCAATCAATAATAATAAAAAATTATGTTTTACATAGCAACTATATATACTATATCTAAAACAAATATACAAAAACACAAACTAGTACTCTCATTTTCAACATCCTCCCACCTTGAGGCTTTTAAGAAATAGACAACCTTAAAATTAAAACCTTTCAGGAGCTTTTAGGGGTCTTCCATAACGACTAAATGTAGGTTTAGCATGTTCAATATTCTGTTTTTTGATTCTTCATCGTTTACGTCTACTTTATTAGCGCCAGCTTTTCTCTGCTCTAATTCTTTTCTAAAATCATCTCTTTCTACTTCAGAATGAACTTCTAAAGAATATAACCTTTTAATAGGTCTGGTCACAAATCCTGTAGATGTTCTTAGCCGTGCAACTCTAATATTTCCATCATTTCCTCGAAAAAGTTCAGTAACCACTGCTAAAGGCCATTCAATTCGCCTAATACCTTCATTACTGATTAGAAGAACATCACCAATATTAATTTCCTTGGGGCAACACCTTTTGTTTCTGAGAATCAACCGACCCAGATATTCTCTACGGAATCTCGTTTTAAAATCAGTTTTCAATTTAACTCGATATTTTAGATGCCTATTTAAACTCTGTTGATCCACTTTATCAATATCAGGAACACCTATTTCTTTTATTTCTTGCAAGAACATCAGTGGAGTTAATGGTACCAGATCTTCAGCATCATCAGAAACGTAAGTAAGGGGCCTAGAGTTCATGACAGCCTCACATTCATACAACGTCGTGCAAAGCTCATCAAACGACAACGAAGTAGTACCCAGAGTTTTACGTAAAAGTTGCTTTAACAATCGAATTATACGCTCCCACCAACCACCCCACCAGGCTGCAGTTGGTGATGAAAATGTCCAACAAATTCGTTGTGCAGTACTATACTCCACAATTTTATCAAAATTAATACGTTTAAACGCATTTTCTGACCCGACAAAATTCGTCCCATTATCACTATAGACAATACTAGGTCTACCTCTTCTACTAATAAATTTTCTGAAGGCCTGAAGGAAACTATCCGTAGATAAAGAACAGACCAATTCAAGATGCACAGCTCTATATACCGCGCCAGTAAAAATAACTACCCAAACCTTTTCCATACTCTTAATAAATAAGGGACCAGCCAAATCAACACCAATTATTTCAAAAACAGCTATATCCTTCACGCGATTTTCAGGCAAAGACACAGGAACAGTTTCAAAAGATTTAGAATCGTACCTTCGACATCGTGTACATTTTGAAACTACACTTTTAATTGTCCTTCTACCCTTCAGTATCCAAAATTTTTCTCGCATCTGACTTAACAAAGCTTGCACGATAATATGACAGTGATCAACATGACATTTATAAATTAACCTTAAAATCACAGGATGACGAGAAGGAAGAATTACTGGGTGTCTGAAATCAAATAAATCATCCCGCTCAGAAATTTTTGGCTTAATACGAAGTATTCCGTCCTTGTCTTTAAAAGGAACTAAAGAAGAAAAACTTTTATCATCAATACCTGTAAACGATTCTTGTTGGACTAACTTTAAAATCACCTTTTCAGAATTTTCTATTTCATTTATCTCCCTGTAATATGTTCTCTACGACGACAATTATTTGAAAACCTAAGAATCCAACCAATTAAATTTACAATTTTTTGATAATCCGAGAAGTATCTGTAATACCAAGAGAAATCATGTTTTACATTAACATATGATGTAGTAGAACGATTTAATTCTTCCTCTGTTGATTTGTCAGCGGCATAATTTTTACTAAGCCAAAACTGCTTTTCCTGCAGTAACCAAAAAGGACCCTCCCACCATCGAGACTGCAACAAATGTTTCGAAGAACAACCTCTGGAGGGCAAATCGGCAGGATTTAATTGACCAGGAATGAAATACCAATCTTCTTTTTTAGTCAATGACTGAATCTCTTTAACTCTATTCCATACAAACGGCTTCCATTGGTCCTCACGATGAATCCAAGCTAACACTGTACTTGAATCTGACCAACAATAAACCGGAATTTCATCATCAAATGCAGATAATATTGAAGATAAAAGTCTGGCACCAATGGTAGCTGCTAATAACTCCAGTCGTGGAATAGACATCTTATTCCGAATTGGAGCTAGTCTACTCTTAGCTTGAATAAGTTGGATAGAGCAGGAACCCTTATTATCTTCAGTCCTCAAAAAAACTACTGCGGCATAAGAATATTGACTGGCATCCGTGAAAAGATGAAGACTTTTAGAATCTATTTCTAACGTAGACAACAATGGATGTGAAAGATATCTAGGAATTTTAAAATTAACTAAACTACTAAGATTATTAATCCAATCGACAAATGTATTTTTAATTTCAAGAGGTACTTCGGCGTCCCATCCTATCTTAAGAGACCACATCTTCTGCAGTAATATTTTTATTAACAAAAGAACAGGACATATAAATCCAAGAGGATCATATACTTTGTTCACAAAGGATAGAATGGTTCGTTTAGTAATAGTTTGCAAATCAGAAGTCTTGAACCAATCAAAACAAATTTCTAAAGTATCCTCAATACGATTCCACTTCAACCCCAAAAGATTGGACACGAACGTGTCAGGTATAACATCATTGAATACAGTGTATTCCCAAAGACGTAAGTCAAATTTTGCTTCATTCATAACCTTGGTTAATTGATCAATAAATTCTCTCAACTCTTCTTCTGAGTCAACACTGCAGACGCAGTTATCCACATAAAAACTTTTACGAAGTTTATCAATAACAGAAAAAGAATACTGAGAGTTACTCTCAAGACAATCTACCAAAACACGATTTAAATGCAACTGCAAGACAGCATTAAGATGGAAAGGGCTACAAGTCACCCCGAAAACAACTCTTGCGTGTCGAAAATAAATAAGATTACGATCTTTATCATACCATAAGAAACGCAGAAAGTCTCGATCAGCCTCTAGGATGCCAATTTGAAGAAAGGCCCTTCATATATCAGCAATTACCCCAATTTTAGAAAGTCGGAATCTTATTAAACAAGAAGGTATCAAATCTATAAGATTAATTCCTTTTTCTAAGCACTGATTTAAAGAAGGGAAACCTTTTTCTCGTGCAGAAGCATCAAAAACTGGCCTTAGTTTGGTTGTAGTACTATCAAGTTTTACCACATGTCGGTGAGGTAAATAATGGACGGTTTTCTTCATTTCTTTACCTCTGGGTACAAATTCGATGACGCCTTCAGCTAACCATTCCGAGAAAACATTGTTGTACTCATCATAGTATCCATCCTTCTTCAACTTTACCATTAAGTTGTCTAGACGTCGTTTAGTCAAGTAAAAATTACTTGGAATTGGTGCATGGCCTTCTAACCAGGGCAAAGCAACCTCGTATCTTCCATCAGCGACATGAACTGTGTCATGAAAATGTTGTATCACAACCAGTTCTAATTCTTTCTTGGATTTATTATTACCGGGATCGGATATTCCAAGAATATCAAGACTCCATAAATTTGTTATCTGGTCATTTTTACATAAAAGAGACGTTATCATGTTCAAACTTATGCTAGAGGTATTCAGATAGACATTGGAAACTTTTCCAAGAAGAGTCCATCCTAGTTGGGTCTCCATAGCCACCAAACTACTAGGTAAATTGTATTTTTTACCAGTAAAAAGTTTACCAGCAATATCGGCACCTATTAACACATCAATTGGAGCATCTTTGATATCAAATATTTCTATTCCCAAATCTGATAGCTCAGACATCCAGGAACCTTTAGGGATAGAACTGATATTCGTA